GGGGTGGGCAGGGAGCAGCATCTGGGCAGCAGATTGTGGCTCTGCTCCAGCCCTGTACTGTCACTGCCCCACAATCCCAATTCCGGTCCCACCTTCCTCCCAGATTCTTCTGTCCACCTGCCTACAGCTCCATCCCATCTGCCTGACCAAACGCACCCTGCCTGCATGGGTCCTGGGCCAGTCTCCATGGAGACTTCACCTGCCTGCTCTGTCTGGCACCCCCAGCAGTGGGACAGGGCAGGCAGGCCAGGATGCCGGGGCAGTAGGGGTGTGTCCAGTGGGGAGACAGGCAACAGCAGCCAGAAGGAGCTGCCAATTCCAGGGAAGTGAGCATGGCCACTGTGCTCCCCAGCCCCACAGCATGCCCAGGGGCCCACCTGGGCCAGGCAGGGCCAAGGGAACTGCTGCAGATCGGACAAAATCCATTGGCAGGCTGTATTTGGCCCCTGGGCCATATTTTGCCCACCCCTGCTTTAGACCTTTAGTCTGCTTGCAGAGATTTAAAAAACAAACCCCAAAACCAGCATTTTATTTTAAACTTCACATGCTCTCACGTTGAGCCCAGCACATACCCAGAAGAGGCAGCACATTAGTTGCACCCAGCTCACCCAACATCTATATAGATTGGGCAGTTTAGTGGGGCTTTTTTGGTACTTTTATCTAATAGCTGATTGAATTAGCTATTAGATAGAAGCACCAAAAATCCCCACTGAAGTTCCTGATCTCTATAGATGCTGTGGAGCTGGGTCAAAGTAACGCACAGCTGCTTCCATTAAAATTCTTTTTTTTAACATCTGCAAGTGGCTTTAGGATCCATCTACTAGGCCTGGTCAAATATTTGTGGGGAGGGGGTTGGTTGAATTTTATTCAGTCAAAAAAAAATTTTTTTTTTAAATGTCTTGTTTCTGATGGGTATTGTGGGTGCTTACCTGGGATGTGTTTGAGTCCCTACTCTGAATTAGGTAGGATTTAAACCTGTTTCCCACAACCCAGCTTAACCATCTGAACCACTAGACTGAAAACCAGCTTCTGAATCTCTCCTGATGGAATTGATTCCCTTTATACAAATGAAATGCAGAGATTTAATGAAAACAAGACCATAGCCCAGTAGTACAGACACTTAGTTGTGATACAGAGGAAACAAGTTCAGGCTCTGCTCCCTGTCAGGCTGTTCTGGAGGCATTCCACTCCTTCCCCTGTTTCTCTTGAACTTCCAAAGGCATCATTGCTATTCTGCCTGAGAATGGATGCAAATCTTGAAACCTTGAGGGGTTTTTTTTGTTTTTTACACAGAAGTCCACAGGTAGTGAAGGGAATGTACAAGGAAGACATAGTACAAGTAGTGAATGGCAAAGGTGTCCTAGATTGATTTCTCAAGGACTTGTGCCTGAGGAATCAAAGATCAGCAACTAGATTAGCTGTGAATGCAGGAGAAGCTTTTTAAAATGTGGTGTGCTAATCTTGAACCTGATGTTTACAATAACCTGCTTGGGTTTCAGTTTTCAGTGAACTGAATCAATTGATAAATATGGTTTTCTTTTTATTAGCCAAATGTCAGATAAAGCCACATCTTGTCTACAATTCCTGAGACTTCTTAATATATACATTTTAGATTTGGGCCCAACAAAGCAAATGTGCAGAACGGCAAGCATAGCAGTCACGTTATTGAATTCAGTATGACGCATCTGATGCTTAAAAGTAAGCAACTTCTGAAATGTTTTGATACGTTGGGTTTTGACTGCCTCCTCACAGTGGCTACATTGACGGACTATCGTTTTTATTCTGCAAATCAAATAAAATATTTCAGGGGGTGGGCTCTGTCAGGCTCATAAAAGAAAAAAAAAGACCATGGTGGTCTCCAGGTCTTTTCCTCCTCCATATAATACACAATGTGGATCTTTCCTAGATGAATTAGTATTTTAACCAGAACAGATCTTGCAGAGAAACACCAAGGCTTGATTTTTAAAAAAAAAAAAATCTTGCTTTATAGCCAAGCAAGAATTTAGATGTGTGGGGGAGTATGGATGGAATTAGGGAAGGTGGGCATGGGTGAGTGGCAATGTGTGAAAACACACATGTTCAGGTTTTCCAAGCCAAGTTAGCTTTGATTAAAATAGGCCTCTGATAAATGCAGGCCCCATCTTCAGCATACTCAGGGCTGCAGCTTTGGTCTGGGTTCTAGGAAGGTACCCTCATGCTGAGTGGTACCTTACTGCCCCTAGTCCTGCCTCCTTCATTGGGATTGCTCTTAGTGTAAAACACTATTCAACAGGCACAGCCACATTGCAGTGAATGCAGCTCATGTGGATGTAACTCAGATAGCTTTAGATGTAACCCAGCTAGCTTTAGACTCACCAGCTGTGGTATTACTAAACAGTGCCACCCTAGAAGGGTGGAGCTCTACAAAACGTGCCAAGAAGCTGGGTGAATATATGGTTAGAGTGAGCCTACTCTGAGCCCTGTGCTGCTACGGTTACACAGCTACCAGCATCTATGCTAGTTAGTTTAATCCTAGCTCCAGGATGAAGGACACTCAGAGTGTAGGCATAACTAGTGCACACAGAGAGAAGAGTCTTTACCATCAGGAGTGTACATACAAGTGAATGGAGCCATATCTGGATTGCACTGTTTGATTAAAAAAAAAAAAAAAGGACTACTGAATGAGTCAATATAGGATTGTAGGATGATAGGACTGGAAGGGACCTCAGGAGTGTGTCTGGTACAACTGCCTGCTCAAGGCAGGATCATCCCTGGTTAAACTAGATCAGCCAAGTCTTTATCTAACCCCTTCTTAAATATTTCCAAGAATGAAAACTCCATAGTCTTGCTAGGTAATCTATTCCAGTGCTTAGATAGCTTTGTTAGACAGCTTTTCCAACCTCAATCTTCCTTGTTGCAATTTAAAACAGTTGCTCCTTATCCTGTCCCCTGTGAGCACAGACAAACACAGACGATCTACTTTATAACCCCTCTTCAGATATCTGAAGACTGATCAGCAGGGATCCAGGTTTTCCATTTCCCATGGGAAACTGGAGGAAAATGCAGATTTCCCCCTTTACCGGAGGAAAATGCAGATGTGTAATTTTATCAGAGAAACCTGTGGATTTTGCAGTTCTGCAAAGAGCTCTCTGCAGGCTGGCAGCGTTCCATCCTGCAGCGGGCTGGGAGAGAGTGGGAGGGGGACAGTCAGGCAGGGAGAGCCATATACATGTATATGCATATAGCCTTCAGGCAACCTGGAGAGCAGCTCCCCTAGGTAAGTTGGGAGGTGCGGGGGGAAGAGCTGGGCTATGCTCTGCTGCAGCAGCCGCCACCTACTACAGGGGCAGAGGGCTGTGGACCCGGGTCCCTGGCCCCGTAGCCCTGGCTGCGGGGGGGCAGGGGGCAGCAGGTGGGGACCAAGGGACATCAGCAGGGCTGAGGGGGCTATGGGGAAGGAGTAAGATGCACCAGCAGGACCAGAGGAGCTGTGGGGCTGAGTGAGGGGCACCAGCAGGGCTGGAAGGCTGGGAGGGGCTTTCAGTTTAATCACAGATTTTGGGGTTTTTATCAGAGAATTTGCTATTTTTAATCAGAGAAATTGTGATTTTTTTTTTTTTTTTTAGTCCCTGGTAACCCATACCCCTCCATTCCTTGGTCTTCTCTCCCCTGGACTAAATGATCCCAAGGCAGGCAAAGAGAATTATAAACTAAAGGAACAAGGGAGGGGAGAGGGTACTCCCTGATGCACAGTCAAGAACACTGGCAAGTGGCAAGTTCAGTGGCTAGGTGAGCCAGCAAATAGCTGAGAAGATAAATTTATGTGAATTGCATAGCGTCAAAGGGGCAATCTCTCAAGCCCGGTCTCCATACTGAGCCGCCCCCTTTGTCATGAGCAAACTGTCCGCCTCTTTTGCTTGCCATGTCTTGTTGTCAGTTTCTCTGGATGTTAATAGACGGAAGGCTACCCTTTGCATACCCAGCTGTATCATGGGCCATACATACATGCTCTGACCTCCCCTATGTGTCCCATGCCTTGCTGATGTAACAAGGCCTAGCACCCAGTCTCCACTCAGGTGCACACACTGGGCCTTCACCTATTAGGCCTAGCACCTGGCCTCCAGTCTGGCAGCACACAGCAGGCCTTAAACAACTGCCTCCTCCCCAAGGGCCTCACAACTACACCCCAAACACTCTGCTCTCTCACTTGGGCTTACTCAGCTAGCTCTTCATCTCCAGGGCCTCACAGCTACACCCCCAAAACTCTCCAGGCCTCTCTCAATACTCTGCCCTCCTACTAGGGCATAGGGTCGAACACTCCTATAGTCTCAGGTGCCACTCTGCTTGCTGTGCCTGGCCCGCCATTCTGCTTGCTGTGCCTGGCCCACCACTCTGCCTGTCTCCAGGGCCTGGGTTGGAATACCTCCATAGGCTCAGGAGCCCCACTTGGTGTGCCTGGCCCATCAGTCCCATTAACTCGCCCACTGGCTGATGGAGGCTGGGGTTAAAGTGCCCTGACCCGCCTTTTACTGGGGAGGTTACTGGCCTGGCATTTCTTGGGGGCTGTCCCACCATGAACAGCCCCACCAGGTCACCCATCCCCGGCAGGGTACAGTTTCAGGTCCTGCCCAGGACCGTGGGGCCTCCTCCTTCCCTATAGCCCCACCCTTACCTCCAAGGTGTTCCTGGAGCAGTGACTCAGCCAGATGTTGCCTCCATGGCTGCTCTTCCCAAACTGCTTGCTCTCTGCCCGTATTACTGGGATCTAAAATGGCCACCATCGTCACCCACCTGCTGGCCCCCTGCTCCAACCCTTAAAGTGACAGAGCACTGAAGCTACTCCATCACACATTGAAATAAGGGTTTGCGAGTCCTACAGTGAGCTCCTTTACCCTCATTTAGAAGGCAAACAAAGGAGCCTGGATAGAGCAGCGCAGGAAAGATGTGGAGAGGTGATGACAGAACAGTGGGCAGCTTTAATCTGAATGATTAACATCCATCTCTTTGCTCTTTGTACCCAGAATGAATTGCTGCCTGCAGGCCTCAGACAGAGGGATCAGACAAAAAAGACACCAACTGGTCCCTTCAGAAGGGAGGAGCTCATGGCTCACTTAGAAAAGCAGGCAAAAGATGTGAAAGACCGAGAAGACCTGGTCCCTTTCACAGGAGAAAAAAGAGGTATGGCTTCTCCTGGCTTTGTCTGTAACGTGTGCTTTGCAAGGTGAAGGGTCCACCTGATGAATGTGGTGCTCAGGGAAAGGGCTGTTCTGTGAGAGCATATCTAAACAACCACACATACTTAGAGGGAATGGCTTTATCTTAGAACTGGTATCAAATGGAGCAGCTGCAGGGTTGATGGGGTTCATTCCACTCCCCTTAAATGCCCAGTCTGGGAGGAGGTCCCTTCTGGGCTGTTGACTAAGTCAAAGATGTGTGAGATGCTTATGTGTGGATTAGAAACTGTAGCTTCCAGGAAACCTGCAGCTTTTTTCTCTCTGCCTTCCCTTCTGTTTCTTCCTACCCTGTGCTCCTATAGTTCATTTTTTGATGCTTTTCTTTCTCTTCCTGGCAGGGTTTAAATTACACTTTGACTCTTGCGGAGTCTACAAAAAAAAGTAAACCAGTTCATTGATTAACAAGTCCACCTAAGTGAATGAGCAATCCAGCTGGAGACCCCCCAAAGGTTATGATTTTCAGATTTTGGCTCTTGTCTCTTATTGGGGAGGACTCTTAGCTCTCACTTCCCTCCTCCCCCCCCCCCCCCCCC